TCACAGTTGCGTTACCTGGGCAGTGGACGTTGTATATAAATACAATTTATTGCCAGTATTTCTCAGTAGAATTAAATTAGTGTCAGGGTTGCCAGGCATGTCATCAGGGTTTCATTTTGTGGTGCGAAATGTTATTAGCTTTTTTCGACAGGTTTCCCAATTTAAAATTTTTCGATTTTCTCAACCACTTTTCCCGAGATACAGACAAACGATAACAGTTTTGTCCGGCAGTGAAGTTGCGAAGAAAACCTAAATTAATTTGGCTTCGAACTTCATTATCTAATAGCAAGCTATGATAAAACATTAATGCACTAATAACTGGTAAATAACACCCCATGGTATGGCGTAAATGAATCCATACTCGCGCGCTTGTGAAATTCCACGGCAAGTTCATGTAGACGTTTAGACGCAGTTGTTAATGAGAATGTTAATTCCAATCAGAAGATGTCGTACGCTTAATGACATACATATATTAAATTCGCTATTTGTAGCAATCATCCCTCTATAGTGTACTGGATGGCAGTCTTTCTCGAAGTGTATGCGTCTTTGAATTTTCGTCCTTTTGTCTTAGGAATTTTTGTGATGGCAAAAATTCCAAACAACGTAAATTCAATTAAGATATACCGATTTGTCTTACAGGAATCGTAGACACTACAAATTAGAGGTACTCATGACAACACTATAGATGTTTCGAAAATTTTACTTGTTACAAAAAGCTGATGGATTATAGTCAATGACAATGGATTATAGAATTAGGTTCACTCGACTTTTTTTACCTGCGATTTGCCCGAAAGCAATTATAATAATATTATATCACACATTTAAAATTTTCTTGGGCGCAAAACTATATGATTGATGGTATAGGCTCAGTTAATTCAAGCCCGTAGGTTCAGTAGGTCGTTCCTATATTGATGGTTGCCAAGATTAAAGTCTATTTTAACTTTTCTCTTCCGAAAAAAGTAGGATTATGTATCCGGCCCGAATTAGCCATCTGGCTTGTCTGCGGTCTTAGTGGATTTCAGAAATCTATAATAAATATATATTTCTACATGTTCTAAGAACAGGATTACCGTGCTACCCGACAACTCATCATTCAACGTTTATCTAATGAAAGGCGATACCTTCTCGCATTTTAAGTGATTGTTTGCTCGACAAAATACTTTGTCACAACTTGTTAGGAAGCATAGATATCTTTCCAAAGTTAAGAATAGCACTACAGGAAAATACGAATAGACGGATTTGTTTTTGGATACATGCACGAGTTCAATATAAATGTGTTGACAGAGCTGTGCAGTAAAATGTGAAAGAAGGCTGAAAATTATTCCTGTACAGACGTTGAAATTATTGCTAATTATTTGCAACATATTCACGTTGTTAACATGCATGACCTACAGGCTGTTCTAAAAAAGAATTGCTAATTGAAAACAGAGTTCTATGTTGATCAGGCTGGAACGAATTTTAAAAGAGTCGTACCCGGCTTTTGGCGTACAGTGATCATATTTGGGCAACTCAAGACGCCCAAAGATAATTGCTTTTAATATTGATTTTCGTCAATTAATGAAATTTATTACCGATGAAAACAAAATTCATCCACCAATTTGGCTTTGCGTGATCTGTCTATTTAAAAAATATTTAATTATTTTTAATTTTGGTTAAACCTCAAAGACAAAACTATGATTGTCTTAAATACATTGTTTATATATTTGAAGGATAATGCTATTCAAAATAAAAGTTGCGATTTGCTCACTGGGATTATAGGGAGAACATAAATTATCGGCAGGATAAATAATCTAAATCTTACCTGACGTACAGGGCTTTCACTTGCTTCTTTTGCTGATGTGCTAGCAGACAGTGGCAGTGTTAAGATGAAAACTGCACTAATTTCTTATGCGTTTCAAATAAGTGTTAAAACAATAAGCGGAATGCTATGTAATTAACATGTTGTTCTGGTACCATGAATGTAGCTAATTAGCCAAGTTATGTCTGTCAAATTGGTTTTATCTTAAAGCCATTAGCAAATATTAAAATTAGAAACATATTCTATTCTTCGATATCTTACAACACGTGCTTCTAATTTGATAAGAAATCCATAAACGAACGGGGCGTTTATAGAGGGCTTAGAAAGATTTAGTGGCAGATAAAAGCGTGCTTTAACAGGTAACGTTAGGACGCATGCGGTGGAAGCACTTACGGGCCGGCCTTTTCAATTGCTAACAACTCAATTGGCGGTGTTTTCACTTTATAATTTCAACTAGTGAAAGCCATAATTGTTTTACAACTTAATTACTTAAAAGGTCTTCCTAAGTAGAACCGAGAGCTCTGGATATGAAACATGTAAAGTCAAAGTTACAAGACTCTTTATAAATGTGAACAGGACCTGTTTATTTTTTGACGTTTCATTAAGCCCATAATGGACTACCTGCATCTTTTGTAGGGCTTTGTTGCCTCGAGTAATTACCAAAAACCCTAATCGGGTTATGTACTTTCGAAATTTTGTTTATCTCATTAACGAAATTGCTTTAGAATAAAAATCCGATTTGCATGTTCTCAAGATGTCTACATTTGAGACAGAAAAACCTGGCATACCTAATCAGTATAAGTTTGATAAATGACCCTATAGTCTCTGAGAGCTGAGCTAAAAATAAAGAGAATCTATTGTATTTGATCGAAACACGCGAGACGATAAGATGAACACCAGCAAAGCAAAGTAGTATATTTGGAGACACAAATATTTGCAATTTGCGGATTCAATCGAATTTATTTTTCATTGAAAAGCATCATATTGTAAACTAAATTTTCGTAAATGACCAAGTCCATGACGGGCTTAGTTTATATCGTTTGAAAGAGAATCTTTTGTGTTATCAAAATACACGAGACGGTATAAACTAAGGTGAACATTAGTTATTACTCATTAGCAGAAAACATGCACCAGATACAAAATTGTCACTTAGACTTTAGATAATTAATGATATTAGAGCTGATGCTAATCTATAAATTCTCTTCTTTTTGGCTATGCATTTTTTAAATGACCTGGGTCTCTGAGAACTTAGCTAAAAATAAATAGAATTCATTGTATTAGATGGAAACACATAAGACTATAAGACAAACACTAGCATAAAGACAGCATTCAATAATCACGTGTGCATGTATTGTTACTATGTGATTATTGATAAATTTAAACAATTTAAAAAGAAAACGTAAATTAGTTTAAACAAATTAGCCGACATTGAAGAAAGAATAAGCAATTATTATCACAATTGTCTTTTAAACTGAAAATATTTTTGATGTAAAAACATGGCCTGCAGAAATTGAAAACTACTGTGCAAATGCCCCATGCGAGTGCATATATGACTACAGTATGCTGGATACCCGATATTAGCGTAGGATGCTTGCCGAAAAATAATGCCAGTCAAAGGCTCTTCACTTGGCAAACTTACTTGCCCACACAAACAATTTTCATGCCGTTTAGAAAATTTACAGCGTTCTATTTATTGTCTTCGATTTCAAATAATTTACAACTTAATTCTTATATTAAATAAAGGCTTATTTAAATTTATGACTAAGAAATTACAAACGCAATATTCAGTAGCTGTATACACTCCTATTACAAAATCATCCTCAGATATATGAAATGTTTTCATCTGACATACAATTAGCCTGCGAAAACAGCCGCCCGATTGTTTCGACGAGACAATCAGGCGGTTGTTTTCGCAGGCTAATTAACATGCAGACAGTGAACTCTATATAATATATATAGAGTTCACTGCATGCAGATGGCCGACAAACTGATCATGGTCTCGAGCGGAATTTCAACTTGTATCTTTAGACTTCTACGACACCATGAGAAGGGTTTGGAGTCTTCAAAATACAAATAAACCAAAATTGCCTGTTTTCTGAGACTTCGCCCCAAGATACATCTCTCTGCATGTATATTATACTTTTCGATATCATGATACTAAGCAACCGTGCATTTTGACATCACGAGATTGACCACAGTATATATTAAGCTGGTTTTCCACTAGCGATTGTTTTCGCGCGAATGGACTTTATTCTTTTGTCTAAAACTAATTAGTTCCAAATGGTTCCAGCCGAAAGCTCAAAAACAAAAGCAAATAGTCGCGCGAAATAATTCGGAACCGGCTTAAAGTCGGTTTTCCACTAGGCGGAATTTTGCGGGCGGAGCGCAATTTTTCTTTGTCTTGTGATTTCTCGGGTGGAACTGATTAGAAAAGACAAAACCTAGTGGAAAACCGGCTTAAAAAAATATTTTTCCATGTTATTTTTCAGTTGAAGTGTAATGTACTCTCATAAACAGCGAAAACGGGGGGGGGGGGGAAGGAGGCTATTGCACCCGTCCCAAAGGTATAAGCGGGTAAGCCCGTCCCAAAAAAAAGATCAGAGTGGGAGAATTTAAATCTACGTGTACTCCATAGGGAAAAGAAAATGATCGTCACATACCTCATGTGTCCCCAAACCTTATAAACATTCATCTTGACATGCCATATATGTATTGATTCCAACATAATAAATTGCTCTAACAAGTGTTTCGACTCCATATGGACACTAACCTGCGATCAGGCCTATATGGACACCCCATCCTAGACCGGCAGATGGCACAGGATTTTCAGGATAATCCAACTTCAATGACGGTTGTGCAGTTCCTTTGCCAAAGTATCTAGGTTCCAGACGAGAAAAAGCGCTGAAATATAAAGGCCCTAGGTCTAGGCTGTAGATACCAAAACTTATTGCCGCGCACTGCTGTGAATACTATCATTCCTGGCTCGGTCAACACACATTGTCCCACAGTCATTCTGGTACATTCGTCGTGTGTGTGTGTGTTGAATATTAAACGCGTACATCAATCAAGTATCCCAATCAGACCTCTGGTAAGTTACAGCACATAGGGTTCGACCCCCGGTTCGTAAATTCAAAAATTCCTTGAGAACGTTTTCAGCAATTGAAACACCATAAGTTCCTAGCAACGACTATATACAGAACAAATAAAATGATTATTTAATTTCTATTGTATAAACCGACATTTTAAAAATATTATGCAAACTATATTGTAAACAATATTTGACAGAAACGACTGTACAAAGGTGTTTATTTTATGTTTAATCTCTGTGAGCATATTTAGAATTCAAGCCATATCACAGCAAAAGAGCCTTCTATATAAAGTTTTAGTAACACAATGAAATTTAGAATAAACACTTTCCAAATTTAAGTGCATATGAAACAAAATCTTGAATTGGCTGACATTTAGGTTACTTCAAGTTGTCTCAAATGCACTCTCGGTAAGTATCTATAATGTTGAGAGTAAAATGAGCCGGAGTAGTTAGCACTGTACTTTGATTAAACCAGAGTTTTTTCGTATATTCACTACGCGAGAGCTCATTCTGAACACTACGTTTGATCATATCGATTCTTTAATCAGATTTTTCTGGGTTAACCTCGTTATCCTGTTTCTCAGTATCATCTAAACTCGGATCATCATCATCCAGTGATTGGTCAGTACTCAGAGGATGAGTTGAACTTGATTGGCCAGAAATACTGGATATTGATTGGTTCGCAGCGACGTTAGATTGTCGTTCTGGCGACGTCTCCTCTTCAGTTATTTCACTCTCTGTTACTTCTTCGACTTCCGTTTCTTCTTGTTCCTAGAAAATAATAAAATTTTCTTACATTTATTGATTTAGATAATAAAAACTACACGCTCGTTTTACACCTAGATCGCCAGTCCTATATATACTCTCTCTATATATATTAATCCTAGCTCCGTAAATGATCAAAAATTGAAACGAACGAATGAATATAAGTGAGATTCCTAATTATATCAAGTACATTCCCCATGGTATAGAAATAATAAATGTTTATATACGAGTACAATGGTAAGAGTTTTTTCATGAGGTAAAAGATGCATGGAACTGTTCCATTTCTTTCATCCAATGAAAATACTCTGCTACAAATAAAAACATCCAATATTTGTTTTATATAACACCAAAATAAATTGTTGAGAAAATTGTAAAATATATACACACTGACAACAATCCAACAAACAAGTTTCAAACTCATGGAAACGTGCAATGAAACAAAAGGTACAATAAAAACCCCAAGTTCACTGGAACTTTCCATTAGACAGATTACATATAGGTGGAGTTACAAGTGCAGCAGAAGGGATGCTCATAAAAATCTGTTGCCCTGGATCAAACCCTCCTCGTTCACACAAACTTTTCCTACCTCTTCAGGAACAAACTCAAAAGCCTTTTGTAACGTTAATCTTGCACTTTGAGATCGTTCGAGGAAAACACTAGATAAGAAAAATTGAGTTATTACTGAACATTCTTAAAAAATCTAAGAATATTGCTAAATATTTATTTGTATAATAATTTTAACTTTGCATTACACTTTCTTTACCATTCCAATCTGGAGCCAACTATACGATGCCCGGTTGGCTTAAGCAATGGATAAGTCAAATTCAATTCCAGTTTCCAAGACTTATATTCGTTTCTGAATAACTGGCAAGTCAAATATAATTTTAACGTTTTTCTTATTTTATATAGCAATTAGTATACCCAAATATTATTTTAAATTATGACTCGATCTGTACGTGGGGAAACTTGCATAGTTTTCTGGATTGATCCACCGAATAATGCAAATGGTTAAGCACAACAAGATGCAAAAGCGGCCGATAGATATGGCGGAACGCTGCATGGCAAACTGTTAAATTATAATTGATGTTTACTGAAACTCTCTTGCAGTATATTTACACTGAATTAACGAGTCCAAAGTATTACTAAAACTATATTTACATGAATACATACAACTGTTAAAACTATGTATGAACATTAAAAATATTTAAAGGTAAAAAATTGTTCGGATCTTAAAGTTCTGCATTTGGTTGTGTTCTTAAATAAAATAGTATTGTCTTGCCCATTTCGTAGGCTATACCTGCATTCGCTCATCTTATGTTTTGGGAACATAAAATGCAGGGGATGATCCTCCTCCTTCATTTTAGTCATATATTTTTTTACATAACAGTTCGCGTCTGCTCTCCAATGTTGGTATCTGTGCCATCATCATCGCTTCATTATAATTGTCTATGGAAGGGAAGATGATTCGAAGTGCCCTTGTCTGTATTGATTCTATCCTTTCACTTATTTAGTCAGGGATCGCTTGCCATATTGGAACAGCATATTCCAATACGGGTCTGATAGTAGTTAGATACACTTTTAGTATTTTCCTTTGCTCAACGCCAGCTCTACGAAGTACGCGGAGGGAATATAGCTTCTTACAAGCTTTTTTGTAGATATAATCAACATGTTTATTCCACTTGAGATCCTCACTCAATTGAACTCCAAGTAATTTATAATTGGTTACCCTTTCTACTACGTTGCTGCCTATTACAAAAGGCCTCATTATGGAGTTGTTATTATTCATAAAATTAATTACCATCTCCTTGCATTTAAGTGGGTTGAGACTCATGTTATGATTTACAGAGAATTGATGTAATTCATCTACCGTATGGTTCAGATAACTAATTGAGTTCCTGGGAATGATCTCTAGCGCAGCTGTGTCATCGACAAACTTTGTTCTTAAATGCCAGTCAGATATTAGCTTATTTGTCATAACCGAGAAAAGAATAACACCAAGTTTAGTTCCCTGAGGTATACCACCATTTGGGGATTTCCAGTCTGACAAAGTCCCCCCTATTCTGACAGCCAGTTTTCTATTTGAAAGAAAAGCGTTAATCCAATTACATAAGGATGAATATCCAATTCCATCAGCTCCTGCATGAGAACATGGTGGTCAATACGGTCGAACCCTTTGCTAAAGTCGGCAAAAAAGAAACGAGCACAAGCATTTCCGCTATGAGGGCCTCGTAGACGGGTTGAAGCAAAAATAGTAGTGCATCCGTAGTGGAGTGACCCTTACGAACAAACTGACGGGGGTCAATTTTTCGTGTCAGCTGTGATAGAAGTCTCCTACAGAAAAATCCCTCGATAATTTTAGCCAAATTGCATGTTAGGGATATTGGACGTAAGTCGCTTTCAGTTGATTGTGGTGGGGTTACTTTCGGTACGGGAGATATAATTGAGGATTTAAGTAAATCTGGGATATATGCTTCCTTAATGGACTGATTGTAAATATCCTGAATGACCGGAGAAAGCTCCGTAGCAAATTCCTTTAATACTTTATTTGGGAGTTCGTCCGGTCCAACAGTTTGGCTACTTGTAGAGATGACAATGATCGATAAACCTCTGCTTCGGAAACAAAGAATTCGTTTGGGACATGCCGAGTTGGACAAAGAGGCGATAACGGTGAAAAGTTCTCAGTTATGCTCAAGAAGTAGTCATTAACTCTATCTGCGAGTATCTTAACATTCCCATTGTCACCAAGAAATTGATAATGCCACTCCTGTTGAATGTCTTGTCCCATAAGACTTTTTATTTGTTTCCACCATTTCCGGGGGTTAGTATGTCCCAGTTCTGCAACTTTATGTTTATAATAATGTGACTTGGCCGCTTTAATTTCCCTTTGCATTTTATTCCTCCAGTGTTTATATACGGACGAGTTTTTACCATGTCTTTGGAATGCGGTTTGGCGTTTTCTGATCCATATCTTGAGTTTATTTGTCATCCATGGGCGATCTGTTTGGTGAACTTTTACTGTCCTTTGTGGGAGATAGCAATCGACACCTTGCTTTAACTCTGTGATGAATAGTTGGAACTTATCTTCACAGGAGGAAGTATTAAGGACTGGGTTCCAATCTTTCTGGGTTATCCATCGACCAAACTCACGCCAGGCACTATCCCTCATATCACGAGAAATATTTTTTTAGTTACTTTGTTCTTCTTAGGTCCTAGAAGTGGTTTCGCCAGTATTGTGAAATGATCGGAGGATGCCATTTTAGGTAACTGAGACAATTCAAATAACCCAGTCCGATTTGTCAGAAACCAATCCAGGATACCAGAATCCCTTGTCTTAAAAGTGACAAGTTGTTTGAGATGATTTGTTTGAGGCAAATCTTTCGACTTCAATCCAGTTGACGTTGGATTAAAGTCGCCAGTAACTATTACAAGCGCATTTGGCTGATTAGCTAATAGGTTGTCAAGGTTACGTTGAATATGTTGTCGGAGAATAATATTCTCAGATTCGCGATTAGAGGTCGTATGGTATATTACTGACAGTATTATGGATGTTATATTCCTTGGTAAACAATAGGGTCTCATTGAAATCCATACAGATTCAACTCCTTCTTCGTTACATTGCTCTAGCCTCTTACAGGGAATTGTATTATTTAAATAAATGCACACTCCTCCTCCTGTTGTATTCACTCGATCTTTCCGAAATAGATTGTATCCTGGGATAACTACAGAGGAATCTGGCACATTTGGAGACAACCGTGTCTCAGTTATACATATTGCATTGACATTATTAAGTTCAGCACTTGTTGAATCTCGTCAACCTTCTTTGCAAAGCACCCCTCTAGATGGAAGCACCCCTCTAGATGAGTCTCAATATAGAAATGGGCATGCAAGAGTCCCAACCTTAGCGATGGTCCGCTGTGTTTTCGGCGCACTCTGCAACTGAGGACTGCTATCAAGTTGAGTAGGCCAGTTCTGGAGCAAGTTGCCCCTCTCTGCACCCACCGTCCCTCGGCTTAAACCTCTCATTTCATTAAATTGTATCTAACACGTCGTACACAACATTGTATGTCATGTTAGGTGCAAGAATGTCGTTGCAACGTAGTGGGATGGTACACATAGAAACTACGAGCAACTATATATAAAGTGAGACGTGGCTATATGCAAGCACATTATCATTAATCTACATTGTGAACCTGATCACTTACCCATTAGAAGTTTCATTGGATTGAGCAGGCGGTGACCAGTTATTGTACGGGTAAGCGTTTGATGCACCAAACGGTCTCTGAAATGAAAACATTCTCGAGTCTCACATGGGGTTTGAACTCGTATCTCCAGTTTGCTGGCCTAATACAGTAGTCTACCAGCCAGTTAAACAAATTCGGATGGTGCCTTGGACAGAGTAATGCATGTTATAGTCAGGCATGTACTTCTCGGTCTGCAAACCGTTATATGAGTTAGATATATTACTAGTTTAATATGCTATTGCTTTTACCCAAATCAGTAATATAACAGTCATGGAAGCAACATTTCTTAATTATATTTCTGTTACTGTATAAACCCCAGTGACTTGATTTTATGTACCTTCTTTTTAAACTATATGTCTTTTTAAACTATATTTGTTATTTATTAAGGTGCCGTAGTTTGTGCTTGAAAAAACATGGATATGAGAAATCTTCTACAAGGAACTTTACGACATCGGGATTTCATCACAGAAATTAATCCAGGAAGTTCAGACAAACTACTGCAATTTATTATTTAATACTACCTACATTGGACCCCCGTGTTTGAGATATATATGTTTACCCTTTCAAGCTCGTCATTAAGCCATTCAACAGCAGCAGTCCATTTTGGTTTGAAATCAGGTGAATCAAGCACAATTTGATGAGCCATCTGGCAACTGAAAGATGAAAGGTAGTGTTTAATGATTTGCCTGACAACACCATATTCAACTGTTAGACAAGAAAATTGACTTGTATCGTACATAAAGTCATATAAATACTCAGTTGAAAATTACAATTTACTTACTTGCTAAACAATGAGACTAGAAATTTGATGCATTGGTAAACACGTTTATGGTAGTGGCTTTTTGATCTTTGAATTGTATCAAATAAACCATCTTTTCCATCACATCCTGCAATTAATTAACACGTATATTCATAACTAACACGTTATAAAATTTCTATAAGTAGAGTTAGCATGGTTAACGAGAAACATCTGCGAAAATTTTTTACTACATTTCATCCATAAGCAACTTTTCCAGAGAAATCTAACACGTTAATAATGCAAATCCAAAAATGAGGACAGAATTGGATTTTAAATGTTTCGAAATGGCGTCTCATCCTCCTTGATCAAAATTTTATCTATCTAATCTTAAGACTGGATCCAATACACAATTCCCATTTTTATAGACTGATTTTAAAACTAGGCAAGGAGATGCAAATAAATCACCACAGCTAGAAAGAGCATACTAAAATGAGTACATGCAATTGCAAAGTTTGGTTGCGAAATGTTGTAAAATGCGGAAAATATAGCCTTGCGAAGTTTGCAAATTTTGTATATACTTTTATATTGCGTGCGGAAATTGCTACCATTTTCGGTCCAAATGGGGTAGCAATTTCCGCACCCAATACAAAAGTATGCAACATTTGCGAACTTTGCAAAGCTCAACCTCGTACCCAGGGACTTTCCTCTTGGGGAGCAAAGACCCTGGTAGACGCTGGTCACGTGATCTGCTAAAATCTAGCAGATTTTTAATTAGCAATCCAACATCAGGTCGATAAACATTTGATATTTGGATTATTTTGATAGTTTAATTTATAATTTGCATCTTGTATGATTGTCGTAAAGAAAACCAAGATAGTTTAATTAGAAATCTGCTAGATTTTAGCAGATCACGTGACCAGCGTCTACCAGGGTCTTTGCTCCCCAAGAGGAAAGACCCTGGGTACGAGGTTGTGCAAAGCTATATTTTCCGCATTTTACAACATTGTAGAAGGTTGAAAAAGCGATATAAAACTTTTATTTTACGTTGTTTACTGAGGAATACACCACACTTTTAGATCCGCCTACGGTCCGGTGCTAGGGTGTACACCCATACCTTGACCCAGCTACGGTCATTTAATTTTAAAAACTCACCTTTTAAAATATTGACAACGCGATGTTTTTGCCAGGAGTCATTAAGTAGCGTCATTTCCAATAATAGATCAACAAACGGTCTCATTTCATATGTGTAAGAACACGATATCTTGAAAAATGGATAACAGGTTGTAATTTGTGGTTAGATAAAATAGCGATCTGAATATGGTTACAATGTTAAATGGCGAACAGTGGTAAAACCGGAATTTTATTTCCGATCATCACTGATTATTGAATACTTGCCGTAAGGCATGGGTTATATAAAAATATATATGAAACCGGACGTTGCCAACTTGCCGTTGGCAATCAATCCATAGTTATGTTTCATTCTATTACAGACTTCAAAGTATTCATATACATTGTATTTTCAACATATTTTCATTGTCGGCTGATTCTGATTTTTACAGTGACTTTGTAAAGACAACCTCGTACCCAGAATGCGTGTCGTCCCGCGTGCTCTTCACGCGACAGCGTAGCAATTCAAAGCGCCTGGGTACGAGGCTGGTATGAAGATAATCAGGCTTCTTTAATTTGCACAGAAAAAGTCACATCGGTACTGAATACATTTTATATATTTTGTATGGTGCTTATTGAAGACACTGTGACAATATATGGTCATGTGATCAGGGAGGTAACAGGAGAGGCAAATAAAATACTGAAGGAAAGGGGTTAGAAATCAGTAAATCTGATGTTGAATTGTTCAAAACGCAACTTTAATGAGTTTCAAACAGCTTTGTCAGATATGAACATGCAAAATGAATCCAACAAAATGTCCGTTTTGAATGTCAAACAATTCTGAACAATATCGAAAAGCAAAAGCAAGAAAAATTTAAGGACTTTCAAGAACTTCTTTACAAATTCAAGGATATTCAAGGCCTTGAATTTTTGTTTTCAAATTCAAGGACATTCAAGGACTTTCAAGTTCTGTACGAACCCTGTCTGGTCATAGTATATTATATCCTCTAAAAATAAATTAAACATACCTGGAATAGAAGTTCCTTTAAAACTAACCACGAGAAATGAGGATTTTCCCAGCAACAATGCTAATTGAAAAAATCGAAAGAGTTTGAGAAATTTTTTGTTCTAGATAAATATATAGAATACGCAGGGGCTTTCAAAGAAGGACAGGAGGTAATGCGGTATTGACATGGCTCTTTTAAATATAACGTCCTGTGGCCGTGGGTCAATCTCCCTTGCTGGGCTCCTCTCTCCCACGGTGGATAAATATTTTAATTTTCGGAACTCCAAGGGAGCATGGGAACATTTTCTGCGAGGTTACTGTTTTGTTTATGCATGATGGAATGGTTATGGTTAATATTTAATCAAGTCCACTGTGCATGGAGTCACTGAGGGTATACTTTCTATCTATTCAACTGCATCGTTCATTTGGCTGCTTTCATTTTCATATTTTCTTTTTTCCTTTTCATCCTCAAAAATTCCCAAGGCTCGCTATTTTTCCACTCATGCCCTCTCCCAAGTTTGCCTTCCCAGTTCAGGGAACCTTTCCGCAAGCTCAAGAACCTATCAACTGAATTATCATGTTCCTTGAAAGTTTGCATGGCGTTAAAACTATATATCTCTTGGCTTGTGGAAAGCAACAAAAAATATACGTGGTGTTTTCCACAAGCCAGGAGATATAATTGAATTATTGTTTCTGCTGTTTTAATAGGTGCTGATGCAATAGGAGCACTGGAGAAAATTATTTCCTGAAAGTACTAGTTCGGTGGCAGAAAATATGATCAACCATTTTTCTTTTTTATTGCAAATATTTTCGGGGAAGGAAATTAATATGGATCTTATATTTAACTCACCTTTAACAGTTGTACTGTTTCCTCAGCTTCGGTTTGATTTTCAATCAATTTCTTTACATAACTAAAACAATAGGGTAATTTAGTTTTGAAATATTTAA